CTGTGATGGAATATGAAGCTGAACTTCAAAATGATGAAAACAACCAGAAAGGTTAAGAAATCTTCTGTGTTTAAAGATAACACAATTAATACAGATGACTCAGCATCGTCTGAAGAGGATGATGAAGATGAGGAGATGACTTTATTAACAAGAAAGCACAAGAGCTTCATGAGAAAATTCAGAAACTTCGAAGGCTAAAAGAAAATGAAGGAAACTGAAGAAAGGAAATTTTCCAAGCACAAGGATTAACACAAAGGTAAGGAAGTTCGTTGCTTTGAGTGCAGGAAACAGGCCATATTAAGCCGAATTGCCCTCTACTCAAGTAAAAAACAAATGAAAATTTGTGAAGAAAACGAAAGCATTGAAAGCCAAGACCCGGAGTGATACGGAATGTGAATCAAACGACGAGGAGGATGAAGAGCTAGCAAACTCGCTTGTGAGGAGGTATTTATTTCCAATCTCACTTGCGATGAAATGCAAGGCTTTCTAAAGGAAATGTCTAAAGAGCATCACAAGGCTTCGAAAAAAATTTGAATTAAAGAAAGAACTTTCTAAACTAAAACCACAAGATATTTTGCAAAAGGAAGAACTTGATTGTCTAAAGAAAACACTTACCTATTATAAGGGATGAACGAGATCTTTCCCAAAAGTTAAAAGTCTCTATTAGGGAAGAAGTCCAAAAAATCTGCAAGAAATTTCTCTTGGATTGAAAATTCTTCAAAAGATTATATTTATACAAAGTCCTCATTTCCATAAATCTGGATTAGGATTTGAAAAGGAAAGTGAAACTCGGAATCTCTTTCCAAAAGTTAAAAGAAAGATTGAAGAAAAACCCTTTTGTTTATGTTTATAAAAGTCATTATGAAAGGCAATTTTTTAAACCAAGAGGAAAACGATTTTGTAGTTGCTCAAATTGCATAAATCCTAATTATTTCAAACAACATTATCCAAAAGATTGAAAAAGGAAAACATGATTAAGTGGAAATTTGACGCGTCAGTTAACAGAAAAGGACCCAAACGCATTTGGTTACCCAAAAAAATGATGAAATTGTTTTTCGTTGTAGGGTTCGTAGAAAAAGAATAAATGTTATCTAGACAGTGGTTGCTCGAGGTATATGATAGGGAACCCTACCAAGTTTATAAGCCTTACCTAAGTCAATCGAAAAAATGTCACATTTGGAGGAAGTGGTAAAGGTAAGATTGTTGGCAAAGCGATCACCAAGTTGGGAAATCTTGTCATTGATGACGTTCTCTGGTCAAAGGACTCAAATATAATTAATTAGCATAAGTCAACTATGTGATAGATGATTTAAAACAGCTTTGAAGAAGATAAGTGTGTTGGGATAAATAAAGTTAAAACTCAAACATTACGGGGAGACATCATGGTAATATCTATCTACTAGACGTAGAACCTAATTCTATTTAATGCTTTGTATCTATGAAGGATGAAATTAACATTTGGAATAGAAAGCTTGGTAATATCAGTAGGAAACAAATTTTAAAATAGTCCATTAAAGATTTTTTTTTGGTCGGACATTAAAGATTTAGTACGTGGTTTACCTAAACTTAAGTATGAAAAAACTAATCTATGCTTTTTTGTTTTGGTCTGTTACTAATCTATGCTTTGCATGTTCATTAGGAAAGCAAGTGAGAAGCTCATTTAAATTCGGGAAAATTCCAAAAAGGGGCCCGAAGTGGAGTCATTTTCTCAAATAAGGGTATGAAGTAAACATTATCTCAAATAAGAGCCTGAAATGGCCAAATTATTTCAAATAAGGGCCTGAAGTGGCCAAATTGTCTCAAATAAGGACTTTTGGCCGGCCAATGACTATTCCGTCGCTGGAGAAGGGGTATTTTAGTCAAAAAATTATAAATATATATTTTTGATTTTTTTCACTTTCTTTTTCTTTTCCTTTTTCTTTTTTCTTTTCCCTCTTTTCTTCTTCCCTAGCGGTCACTGCACTTGGCTAGCGACGGCCTCAAGTGAGGGCCGCCCATGCTAGCGTCGGGCGAGGGTCGCCCTCACCGACGTCGGGCGAGGGCCGCTCTTGCTTGGGCTGGCGAGGTCGAGGGTTGGCCTCTCCGAATCTGGCAAAGGCGACCCTCGCTAGGCCAGGTGAAGGCGGCCCTCGTCCAACGCCGGCGAGGTCAACCCTCGCCTGCCCAGGCCAGGATGACCTCCGCCGGTGGAGGGAAGAGAGGGAAAAAAAAAGGAAAAGAAAAAGAAAAAAACAAAAAAAGCAAAAAAGAAAGAAAAAAATTCAAGAAAGTAAAAAGACGAAAACACCCTTTAGCCGGTGAAGTCGGGTCCTTATTTGAAACTGATATGACCACCTCAGGCCCTTATTTGAGACAAGATTTACTTGAGGCTCTCATTTGAGACAAGATTCACTTGAGGTCCTTATTTGAGACAAGATTCACTTGAGGCCCTTATTTGAGAAAATGATGGTACTTCAGGTTCTTATTTGAGACAAGGTTCACTTTAGGCCCTTATTTGAGAAAATGACTCCATTTCGAGGCCTTTTTTGAAATTTTCCCTTTAAATTCATAAACTCTGTATCTACAAACCCAATTCTGTAACTACAACAACTGGACTTATTTAGACCAACTCGAAACTTGAGTCTCGATGGTAAGAGATGTTGATAGTAGATGATTATTCTAGATTAACTCGGATTCGCTTTCTAATTCAGAAGCATGAAGCATTTCGCTCTCTCATAAAATTTGCCAAAAAAGTTCAAATTGAAAAATGTTTTAGCATTTCATCTATCATGGGAGAGAATTTGAAAATAAAAAATTTTCATATTTTTGTGACAAAAATTGTTTAGAACATAATTTTTCATCTCCTTGCACACCACAACAAAATAGAGTTGTAGAGGGAAAGAATAGATCTGTACAGGACCATGTTGATAGAGCGTGGTGTTCCTTTATATTTTTGGGCTGAAACAGTATCTATTGCTTATTACATTATATAACAAGTTTTTCTAAATCCATTTTTGGAGAAAACCACCCATGAGTTATTTAAAAATAGAAAACCAAACAATTCATACTTTCATGTTTTTTGTGCAAGTATTACATTCTAAAGAATGCAAATGATAGTATTGGTAAGTTTGATCAAAAGGTGGACAAAAGTATATTTCTTGGTCTTTTACTAATAGTAAAGCATACAAAGTGTTTAACAAGAACACGCAAGTAGTAGAGGAGAAAATTAATGTCAGGCTTCAAGAAAATGTGAGTTACAAAAGGTTACTGAAGATAAGGAAACTGTTCAGCAGGTAGAAACACTATCAACCAAGATCTGCCTAGGGAAGAACAACAATCCAATCTAATGCATCTATAAAAAGAACTAGAAGAACAAATTAAGCCATCCTAGTCCCTGGCGATAGAGGCAAAGGAGATTGTAGGGAAAACCTCTCTGTAATATTATGCAGTTGACAAAACCTTTTATTTCTCTTATTTATTGCTAAATGCATATGTTGTCTATTTTATAAGATGTTGTCTATTTCAGGTAGACAAAGAACGCTTCGTCGGTATCTAAAGCTTACAGTGAAAGACGACTAAAAGCTAGGTGGACTTGAATAGAGAGGGTCAACAAGTCTAGGAGAATGAGATTCTTGAAGACTTGGAGAGACCATGATTAGGTAAACAGCTGAGTAAAGTCTTGATCATTCATATACTCAGGAAGATCAATGGATTGCAATTCGTAAGTCAATCTCTAGAGGGCAGCTTTATCAGACTCATTGGATCGTTGATAAAGGCAGCTCTCTACATCAACTATATATGTATGACACTTATCGTGTTATCTAGATACGAAGACCTAGAACTCTTTCCGATTTAATTCTAAATTGGTATCCAAAGGCTCGTCACTAGCTCTGGAATTCACGAAAGAAGAATCGGAGACTGAATAAAATCAATTCTTTCCTATTTTCCTCACTCAATCAGAGGAATGGATGATTGACAAAATTGCTGACTCTATTTATCGAAACTATACATTTGCTAAGAAAATTTCAGTGTATAGTGGCTAGAGGTGATGGCTGAGTTGGTGTCTTGATAAAATTCACGATTATGGCAAAGTTCAAGTGCAGCTTGGACTTGAAATATCTTTGTAGCATTTGAGCCCATAAGGGGCTATGAGAGATTAGCAGTGATCAGGCTCACGTGAAGCGATTGTGACTTAACTCAAACGTCAAGTCAAGGTGAAGATTGTTGAACATATATCTTGAGTTTGAGCCCGTAAAGGAAACTTGATCCAAGAAGATTTCCTAATTTGAGTAAGTTTCCTAAAAGAGATTTTCTATTTTGGATCCAAACATTATATAGTTCTTAAATGGGTGTTGATTTTTTCCTATCAAAGAGCAGATGAGCTTTTGGCCATAACAGTTAATAGTGCGATGTGCTCGTGGATTACATCCTAAAGAAATTGCAAGTATTTTGAAGCCAATAAACCTTGTGGTGGGATTTGTGAATTCATTTGTAAAGTTGCGACATTGTTTCACAAGGAATTGTGAGGGTTAAATATTATGTGAGTTATCAGGTATACTTGGGATTGGGAAACATTAATAATATTTGAATGACTCAAGTGTTGTTATAATTTCTATTATATCGCTTGATTTATAGTGGAATCATATGCTATTCTCTCCGTAGAGTAAATTACATCGACGGAACCACGTAAATCCAATGTTCCATTTATTTTCTTGTTTTGTTTATTGTTGTGTTCGATTGCTTGTTTTTTGCAACATAATACAGCATTGTTGGCACATAGATAGTACTTGAATGATTTTTTTTGGGGGGGGGGGGAGGGGAGCAATAGTGGTGATAGAATTAATAGTGAAATTGTGGTTGATCTCGAACTGTGCATGCAACACGTTTGGAGCATTAGATTCAATGGATTCCATATGGGTTCCATCTAGATCACCAAGATATTCAGTGAGGTGAACATAGCATGGTGGTTTGCGTGCGTGCAATAAATTCTCTTATGACACAACGAAAGCTAAGGAACTAACCTCTTCGCCATCACTCTCGACGGCGACCAGCCGTTCCAGCACTAGCATCGGCAGCTGATTCTCCAGCATCAACATGTCCCGCTTTATGTATGGCAGTACGTAGAAATGCCCCTGTTCACTAAAGATGGGGTCGTTCAGTGGGTAGTCTTGCGGCGGGAGCATCCAGCTCCTTAGGATCTCAAGCATGAAGCAGCCGTCAGTGATCATCAACTGCAGGAACGGGCCCGCCGCACCCTCGCTGCCACTCTCCTCCCACTTCGGGTCAAGCTTGTGGTAGCTGTCCTTGAGGTCCTGCTCCACCTCTCTCAGAGACTCGAGGAAGGGCTCGACTTGCTTCCTAGACCGCCAAAGAAAGTGGACGAGCGCGCGGTGCTTGTGCTCTTCCATGGGGAGGAGGTCGTCCTTGCCGTGGTGGTAAGGACCAAAGGAGACAGCCTGCGGCCAGTAGGCCTTGCGGTTGAGGTCGGTGATGCAGGCGGGGACCCTGTAGATGGACCGCTTCTCCCAGTACCGTCCCTCGTCGGATTTGGTGGGCATGCGCCTGACGCTCTCATTGACTTGGACGATCCAATCGGTCTCGTTCAGGTCCGGTGGTGGCTGTGAAGGAATCATAGTTCTGCAAGTTTCACAGGTTCCCCAAATTTCTGTTGTGGAGTGTCTTGTGTTCTTTTTTTCAAGCTTAAAGGAGTCAGAGAAGAGGCGAATCTATATCTATAGGAGAAGGGCATAAAGTATGTGTCACTTTTTGTGCCTAGGGTAAAGAGAAAAACTTGTTTGGGCATGTCTCACGAAAACCGAAGGAATCGAATTGCGTGCCCACGATTCACGTGATCTCCCGACGATGGATGAGCCTTTGAGTTCAACGAATCTTTCGAGTGTCTGCCTAAAATTAAAAAGCTCGTATGAATTGAGTACATATAATGTCCGTATGGATATGGAGTTAGCACATACGGGGTGACACTAGATTTAAAATAGTAATTTTTTTTTATTTCACTTGATGGTAATTTTTACCTCGTATGTTTGGAATATTCCAAATTTCTTACTTGAGGACGTTTTTTAGTGTGGGCTTTTCGTTTCCTCTCTTTCTTTATTTTTTTATTTCAATCACATAAGCATAATCGGCCACGAGCTTTTATGAGCTCCAATCGGAAAGATCTTGGATCCATTATAATTGCTATAAATAGTAAACTTTAAACACAAATATCTCATGAAAAATGACTAATTCCCTAAACCAATCACATTAATACATTATTTCGGGAATCAATTTTTCATGTCAGTTTTAGTATCCCTTACATGACTCTTTTTTTTTTGGTCGAACCCTAACATGACTATGACTTCATACTCATTTTTAAAATGCCCCAACTGTTACATTCCTTAACATTTTATACCAGGCATTATTATTCACTCTTTGAGATACATTACATGACATCCATCTTAAGCCTCAAGTTCTAATTACGAATATTGATGACCCATTTTGGGTCCTTGTTGCCCGTACACCACATTCAATTCTCTTTCATAAACGGTTGAAGGCTCCGCGGAAGGACAAAAACAATTGAAGGCTCTTGATTAAAGGCCGTCCATTGCTTCTGCTGTTGTACTCAGGTCCGGACAATAATTTAGGCCTGTCGAAGCAAAATGCGGATGGACGGTCAAAAGTTTTTGGATTAATAGAACGGAAAATTCAAAATTGACATATTTGTGATAATTTTATTTTAAATTAATTTTTTAATCATAAAAAATCTCGAATTGGTATATTTGTGATAAATTTATCCTCCGTTAATTTCCATTAAATTAAATTAATACCAGAAAAAATCATAAACCGGTACGTCTGTGACAAACGGAGGGTAAAATATAAAATTGATACATTCGTTAATTACCGCGTGTCATTTAACAAAACAATTTGATAGTAAAATTTAACGGAAATAAACTGAGGGTAAATTTGTCACAGGTGTACCAGTTTGAGGGTTTTTGGTGGTTAAAAAATTATTTTGGGGTAATCACAGACGTACCGGTTTGGGGTTTTTCGTAATATTAGCCCAAATTTTTTATATGGAAAATTTCACGATTTTAAGCGGCCCAAAAAAAAGGGCCTAATACTCTAAAAAATCTTCAATTTTAGCTTTTGTGCCAATTTTACTTTTTGTCTTGTAAAAAAACCTCTAACTTTATGTTATGTGCCACTTCTATCATAATTTTTTTTTCTTCCATAAAAAATCCTCAATATTATGTCATGTCCCAATTATACCCTAAACTTTTTTTGTCCTATGAAAAATCACAAACTTTAGGTCTTGTCCCAATCTTGCCGTTCAATCCCAATTTCATCAATGTTTCTTTTGGTATCTCGACAAATCTCAATCGTTAATATAGGCATCATATGTATTGATAAACCATTGAGATTTATTGAAACACTAGGAGATTCAATATCATTTGGAAAGGACAGGACATTCCTGTCCAAACCAGCTTCTCAAAGCAACTTTTCCTCGGTTTTCTTTTCTTTTTTTAATTTTACATTTGTACTTCAACAAATATCTATCTCTTTTTTTCGGGATAAAAACAGTAAGAGTGTCATAACTTTCGTACGACACTCACTTGAGCGCCATAACTTATTTTTCATTCACTTAAGTACCACAAATTTGAAAACTCGATCACTTAATCGCCATCGGCAATTTGCATCGCCAGAAAATCCGACTAGTCATCTTACGTGGCACCGCGGGCGCCGATATAGATAATTTTTGCAAGTTTTCGCTCACTTAAGTGCCACAAATTTGAAAAATCAATCGCTTAAATGCCATCGACAATTTGCCTTGCCTAAAAATCCATCGCTGGCCTCGCCCAGATCTAGCGAGGGCCTTCGTGCCCTCGCCCGCGATGGCCCTAGGTGAGGCCATCGCGGCCTTTTCGGTCATGGACAAGGGCGCGATGGCCTAGACGAGGCCATTGCGGCCTCGCTACGAAAGCCCTCACCAGCCACCGGTGATGACCTCGCCCAGGGCCTTTGAGGCCCCACTGGCCGAGGGCGAGGCCTTTACAGTCGACACACAGAAAAAAACAAAGAAAAAAAAAGGGAAATACAAAATGCAAAATAAAAAAAAATCCACATAGAATGATTTGCCTAAAATGACACTCAAATGATTGATTTTACTTCGATATAGTACTTAAGTGAGCGAAAAAAAAAAAGTTATGGTACTTAAGTTGTTCTTATCCCCTTTTCATTCCTATCTTCCTTTTCTCCACTTTGCTTCTTTAGGTTCATTTCTATCTTCCTTTTCTCCACTTTGCTTCTTTAGGTTCTTTCGCGTAATTTTTTTTGTCCAAAAAAAAAAGGGCAAAGAAAGCCCAGACTCGGAAGATCACATCGAAATTATGCACAATTCAACATATAATAGAATATCCGCACTGAACTCAACTAAAAATGATATGTCTCTTGTTCATATTTTACATTACAATGGCCTCTATTTATTATACCGACGAAATAGAGCCTTATGAAACACTTGCACCGACACGAGAAAAACAGACATTTGAAGTGTCCTTCTTTGATCGAACCAAAATTTTTACATATCAAAGATTACAAATTCCTTTAATTCTTCCGAATGATATCACTTTTTAGGCAATAAAAAAGAAAAGTTAGGGAAATTTTTTGTGTACGAAAGCTCTGTTTGTTTCGCGAAAAACATTTTTCGAGAAAATATTTTCCTCATTTTCCGGCATTTGGTTCGCTTAGGAAAATGAGTCCACAGAAAACTTACGGTTAAATTCAGAAAAATGATTTCCGCTTTCGAAAAGTTCCAAAATATTTTCCAAAATATGAATAAGTATTAGCATTTAGACCCAAAACTCCACGCTTGGGCACGAAAACCTTAACGTTGGTTCTCATGACCCGGCGTTTAGGACCAAGTCTCTGACGGCCTAGCTAAGGTCCATTGATGCCGAGCCTAGGCTTCCAACGCACAGGTGCCCGTGCTCGATTGATTGAGGTTGGGCCTAAAGCCCTGGTGCCCGTGCTCGATTCCCCGACACCAGAGCCCAGGCCCATAAAGGCCATGCTTGGGTCTACAAAGGTAGTGCACGGGTCCTTGATTAATGAAATGTCGGTTCTTATAAAAATATTTAAAATGAAATTCGTATTTTTAAATTTTTTTCTTTTTTCTCATTTTCTTTCCTTTTTTTATTTTTTTTCTTTTTAGTTTTTCTTCTCCCTCATATAGTAGTCGGAAACGGCAGCAGTTGGCCATAGGTGAGGCTCAAGCTTCGCTGATTAGGCAAGACTCGTCCTTCGCATGTGGTAAGTTGCTAGCCGTCACCGTGGCCGACCACCGGCCAAGAAAGAAGGAAAAATAAAAAGAAAGAAAAGGAAAGAAAGAAAAAAATTAAAAAAATTAAAAATTTGAATTTTTTGGTAATTTTTAGATTTTCCCTACCAAATGGTGGAAATTTTTTTTTAATTCATTTTCGAATTTCAGCTAAACACCGAAAAATATTTTCATTTTCTTGGAAAATGAGTTACTGGAAAATATTTTCCAGAAATGTCACATTTTCTATGAAATAAACAGAGCCGAAGTCTTTAATTCCTCAACATGCTTGTTCATTTTTCCAACCACTGAAAATTCACTTGTAGGACCTCGACGCCCACGCCCGGGACCATCAAGGCCATACCCGAATCCCTGGTGCCCTTTACCGATGCTATGGCACCCAAACTCGAGTCCATAAAGGTCGTGATCGATCCCTGACGCTCAAGCTATAGTCCCAACCCTTAGGCTTGGATCCACAAAGATTGTACATGGGTCCTCGGCTCAGGTTCTTGATTAATGGAATTATTCTTATAAAAGTATTTTTTTAAAAAAAATCAAAATTTTAATTGTTTTTATTATTTTTTAAATCAAAATTTTTTTCTTTATTCTTTTTTTGTTTCTTTTTCTTTTCTTTTCTTTTTTCTTTTTTTCTTGTCTCTTTTCTTTCTTTTCCTTCCTCCTTCTTCCTTTGTCGGCCATGTGCCCCGACGATGGCCAACAGCTCAACGACTAGCCCGGACGCAAGCCGGTGAGCTCAAGACTTGACCGATCCTAGTGAGCCCAAGCTCTGCTGAGGCCAGAGAGCTCGGGCTCAGTCGAGGCCGGTGAGCTCAAGCTCGCCTATGGCTGTCACTAGCCAGTCATGGCAGAGGAAGGAGGAAAAAGAAAAGGAAAGAACAAAGAAAAAGAGAATTTTGATTTTTAAAAATAAGATAATAAACAAATTAAAAAAAAAGAGAAATATAAAAAATTTAAAATTCGAATTTTTTTAAAAATAAAATAGAAAAATCATTAAAAATTCAAAAAAAAAATTCTGAGATAAAGTCACGAGATTGAAATCATTTTCTAATGAAATCCAAACATCATAAAATAATTTTGATCATGTATCACCAAACAAAGAAAAACAAAACGTATTCCTAGAAAATGCTTTCCTGGAAATCATTTTCCTTTGTCATTGAGTTTTCTGCGAAACAAACGCATTCTTTCAATTCATTTAGGAGCCTCCATTATTCTATTATGGGCTAATTAGGAGCCCGAGTAAGACGCGGAATCTCATCTTATTCTTGTGAACCAAAGATTCTAAGATTAGGGATTTGATTATACTATATTAATCTAACAGCCTTCCGATACCTTTTCTCTTTTACGAAACGTTTGCATGCAATCTTCATCA